CCGTTTCCCCTTACTGTCGGGGTTGCCTGCCCACTCCAACATCACTTCCCTAACATTCTAGTGCTGCCTCTCCTGGGTTCGTTCTTTCCAGGCAGAATAGGTATCTTCCCATTCTGAGTAGGTGTAATTTGTTGTGATTTGACTATGGACAACAGTTAATAGACCTGTGCCCATGTCTTTGATCTTCTCCCAAGTCTCCTTTGACTCTCTGCTCATTGCTAACCTATAGATCCTATTCTCTATATCCTATAGAGAAGACATTCTGATTTTAGCTTAAGTATATAACTGCTAACTTATAAACAAAGGAATAGTTGAACTATCAAGAGTTCTCAGTGTCCAGAATTCAAAACCAGTGCATTTGTGTGGGTGTTGAGTGGCAGGTGACTTAACTGACCTGGTTGCCAGTGTTTTGGGGAAGACCTAACCCATAGAGCACATTGGCTTAGAAACAACTAGTCAAGACAGTGTTGCCTCATGAGGTTGTTTTGGACTGTAGTGTATGGCCCCATCCCGCACACCTTTGAAGAGGAGTGGGTGGCCAAGCAGACCAAGAGGATGCTCGACATGAAGGTCAGCCCAATCCAGGGCTTCTCTGCCAAGTGGGACTACGACAAGAATGAGTGGAAGAAATAAGAACCCACCATTCATGCATCTGAACCTCATCTTGTTCTGTCATTTCCTTGCAGTTCAGCATATTTACTGGAAACCATTATTTTGCAGTTGGAATGCTAATAAATAAGCAGTTTACGTGACATCCTTGTGGTTGATTCCTTCTTGATCTAATGAAAGTGTCTGTTACTTTTAACATAATAGGTTTCTCCCAAGTGTCTGATATAAATATATTTTGGGTATGAATGAAATGACAAAAATAAATTGTATATGGGGACATCATATGAAATGTTTTAGGTTATGACAAGAGTTTTGTGATTAAAATTCTTTCATAGTGTCCAGACTGACAGAAGTCACTATGGCCACCTTTATTCTGGGATTGGCCCTCCCCCCTAGAAATTGTTGATGTGTTGGTTGGAGTGGGTAGACCATGAGCCTGGAAAGAGCAGGAGGTCTCAGTGACGGACTCATTTCCCTGGGTCTGCTCAGTTCCCTGGCTACTCTCAGCCTTTGATCTGAAAAACTACAACAAAGCCAAAACCAGGTAAGGCAGTGATTTAAGGAACATTATCCTGGCCCCCGGTAAGTTCCCTGTAGGGCTGTCCTACTCTCCTGTTCTCTGACCTGCTCTAACATCCCTGCATGGAGAAGCAGAACAAATCCTAGAATATAATAAGCTGCAAGAGATGTTGGTGCAAAGAAGTCTCCCAGCAGCGTTGGTATAGGAATGAGGCGAGAGTGGGAGGTAGCCCTGGAGAAGTCCAGCTCTAAGTGGAATGAGAAGTTGGTCCCTAAAGCCTGACCAGGGGTCTGTTGCAGGAGGAGGGCATTAGATAGTAGAGCAGTTTAAATATAGCCCCTGATTGTAGTATCTTCCTAGGGCTTTAGAAAGCCCTTGATCCCTTGTTCTCAAAGGGCCAGCTGACTTCCCAGGGAGTCCCTCACCGCCTGGTAGGGAAGAGGAAATGCCAGGACCTGTGGGGCATGGGAGTCTGGCTGCGGGGACTAGAGTGGCTTTGGATGGCTTCAGCTACAAAGCTCAGGTCTCCTGCTGGGTGATGCCATTTTCAGCTCCTTCCTAGGGTGGGCTCCTGTGGTGGGGCTGAGGTGCCTGACCTGGGCCAAGGTCACCCCTAGCCCATCACTTGATGCTTAAATGACCATTGGTGTACCTACCCTGGACCGGTCGCTCCAATACCACGGTCTCAGAACAACCCTGAGAGGACAGGGCTGTTACCCGGGGTAGATGTTGGAACTGAATGGGCTGGAAGCAGTGTTCTACCTGAGTGGAAGTGAGTGAGTGATGGAGATGGTGTTTGAAAGTCCTTTTGATCCCCAAACTCTGCTTCTATCCTGTAATAGCTCCAAATGGAGCCTCCCTGAGCCTGGGACTTTCCCTTGGAGTGAGTGATCAGGCTCTCCAGGCTTCTTACCACGGAGGAACCTCTAAGGAGATTCCTCTTGCTAAGAGGATTGCCACTTGTACATCGGTTTCTGATTCCAAAATGTGACTTATCATGTCCTCTTCAGTTCTCTTTGTCCTTGTGGGTTTAAGCCTTAAAAAAATCCGTTGACTGTCATTTTAGTGGGGATCTGGGAGGGAGCAGACAGTTGATGTTAGATTCACCCACCATCCTTGAACTGGGAGTCTACTTTACCGTCGATTGTCTACATGTCATGGGGATGTAATAGTGAACATGACTCTTGGGGCCCTCACCCTCACAGGACAAGCAAAACATTAATGGGTGAAATAATGAGAAGATTTAACAGTGCTCCTCAGAGCTGATGGGGGTTTGGGTTGGCATGCAAACGTTTTTAGGTTGGATGGGGGAGGTCTCATCGAGGAGGAAACGTGAGCTGAGACTCGCATGAGAAGGGACCATCCATGCCAAGGCTTAAGTGGAGGCCGGGGTGGTGGGTGGAGACAGTTCTAGACTTGAAGGACAGCAAACAAACAAAGACCCTGAGGCAGGACAGAGCTTGTTCAGGGAATTAAAGAGACTTCAGTAGGGCCTGGGACCTGATCTGGAGCTCTGTGAGGGGTAGAAGGATGTGGGGGTGAGAGTGGAGAGCGCAGATGCTGAGTATAGGGGCCTCACAGACCACTGGAATGAGGGTGGGGTGAGCTCTTTTCGGAGGGGGTGGAGGAGCGGGGAGGTGGGAGTGGGCGTTGTTTGCTCATTTAGCCCCTGGACTGCTTCCTGTCGGTTTTCAGGGAGAATATTGTGGCTCTTTTTGTGGCATGAATTTGGGGCAGGATTTTGAGAAACACCAAGAAGACCGTTGGAATAGCCCCTGGTTTAGCTCCCTGGAGGCCAGAGGGGTCCTTGTGCCCCCAGGAGTGGGCCTCAGGTGGGGATTCCTCAGAGTGAGAGTTCCTGCTACTACATCTCCATGTGGGGCTATTGCAAGACCTGTGTCTGGCTGCCGCTCACACCTAACGCTTGTTGAGCTCCTTGCCATTTAAAATCCCTTTGTCCTTTTTTGCTATTTTTATTTTTGCCTCTCAGTGCTCACCTTATATTACCAGCTGACAAATTCTACACTGTAGAATTTAAAAATCATTACCTACAAAGGGACATGAAATTCTACTCTAGAAGCCAGAAGGCCATGGAACAATAGTTTCATCTCGAATGATATAATCAGCTAAACTATAAACCGAGAGCAGAGGGGAAAAAAGATTCAGGTGAAGACTGAGCATTTATTACTAACAGGTCCTTACTGAGAGAAGAAGGAAAGGTGAGCAAGGGATTGGGAACCATGAAGGCAAATCCACTCAAACATCAGTTGAATACAACAGCAAAAATGATGATGACCAATTGGGGGTTGGGGGTTGGGGTGGGGGAACAGTTAAAAGCAAGGGGAAAGGGATTATGGAAATATGAAGGCTGTGGTGGCATACTTTTTGAATTTCTGTGAATCCCCACATAAAAACTAGTTAGATAGCAAAACTAAAAACCCTATTGACATATCAGAAAATCAGTTGTTATATTCCTACATGATTCCCAAAATACAAATGGGTGAGGACAAATCAATCAAAGCTACAAGCCATACACAGTAGCTGCTTCAGTGCCAGAGGAAGCAGAGGGAAGCAGGGTTCAGCTGATGGACTTGAGAACTGAGACCCCATGGTAGCCAAGGTTTTCCCTGGGAAGTTAGCCCAGCGGGACCATCCGGTGAGGCTGGGAGGGCTGCTCGTTCCAACAGCAGGTGAATGCAGGGGCCCTTGGTAAGGTCCAGAGGGGCTAGAGCATTCTCAGTCTTGACACCCTCTTGGGCTGATCTCTGAGATGGACCCATACTGCAGAACCACACCTCCTAGAAGTTCAGGAAAGTGAATTTGAGCTCAGTGAGGATACTCACTGTAATGGATTAACATCCATCCAACACATTGAAATCTCTGGGTTATGAGACATAGAAACAGGAAAGTGTGAGCAATGCTCAGGAACTAAAGCAGTCAACGAAAATTATGGTGCTTGGCGGGGCTCTCCCCATGGCACCTCTGTGTTTGTTCAATGAGTCCGTGGACTAAGCCGCTATGGTGGCAGGGATGGAGGCCACAGATGGGCCCCACACGTGGGCCCCACACATTGGCTTCCTTTCCCAAAGGCTGACTTGGTCGCCACTGATGTCAAGTGCCTAATCTGCCAACAGCCAAGATCAATGCTGAGCCCCTACATGGCACTGTCTGGGTCTGTTCATGTGGCAGGGGGCTCACGCCCATGGACCTCACTGGTTTTACCACATACCACCTTTACCTTGAAGCAGCTGGCCTAATGGAAGGGGCCTTCTGAAGGCTCAGTGGGGGGCCATTGGGTGATAATGCTCTCGAGATAGGATTCCATCTTACAGGATGCAGTATATGCTTTTAAATTTTTGTGGTAGAGTATACATGACAAATTTATAATTTTAACTATTTTTAACTGTACAACTCAGTAGGATTAAGTACATTCACATTGTGCAACTATCGTCACTATCCATCTCCACCACTTTCTGTTCATCCCAAGCTGAAACTCTACCTATAAACAATAACTTCCCATTCCCCACTGCCCCCAGCCCCTGGAAATGTTCTACTCTCTGTCTGTGTGAATTTGACCACTCTACCTGCATCATATTAGTGGAATCATATGTGACCTTTTGTATATGACTTATTTCACTCAGCATAATGATCTCAAGGTTCGTTCATGTAGTAGCATGTGTCAGAATGTCCTTACTTTTTTAAGGCTGAATAATATTCCATTTTACGTATACATCCCATTTAGTGTGTCCATTCATCAACAGACAGACATTTGGGTTGTTGCCACCTTTGGCTGTTGTGAATAATGCTGCTATGAACACAGGTTTACAGATATCTGTTTGAGTCCCAACTTTCAGTTCTTTTGGATGTATGACCAGAAGTGGGAAAAGCCATGAAGGAGGTGGCAATGCCTTAATGGTCAACATGTTGTGAGGCCTAAGGGCCTCTTCTACTCTTGTCAAGGAGCGTGCTAACTTTCTTAACTTTCATACAAAAGTATACTTTGTAAAAAATTAAATTTTGGCGGGTAACATTTGTTAATATAAGTTTCAGATGTACAGTTCTATAATACACCATCTGTATATTGCATCGTGTGCTCACCACCTAAGATCTAATGTCTTTCTGTCACCATATGTTTGACCCCCCTTACCCTCTTCATCCTCCCCCTCTTCCCCTTCCCCTCTGGTAACCATCATACTGTTGTCTACGTCTGAGTTTGTTTTGTTTGCTTTCTGTTTTATATCTCACATATGGATGAAATCATGTTTCTTGTCCTTTTCTGTCTGACTTACTTCACTTAGCACGATATTCTCAAGTTCTATTTATGTTGTCACAAATGGTAATACGTCATCATTTTTTATGGCTTAGTAATATTCCATTGTGTGTGTGTGTGTGTGTGTGTGTGTGTGTGTGTGTGTGTGTGTGTGTGTATCACATTTTCTTTACCCAATAATCTGTTGAAGGGCACTTAGGTTGTTTCCATGTCTTGGCTATTTTGAATAACGCTGCAATGAATGTAGGGGTGCATAAATCTTTATGGATAAATATTTTCAATTTTGGGGGATATATACCCAGGAGAGGGATTGCTGGGTCATATGGTAGCTCTATTCATAATTTTTTGAGGAACCTCTGTACTAAAACTGTGCTTTTAATTAGAGACTGATTTGTG